GCAAGCAGGAGGCCGTACCCGTGCACGTCTTCCCGGCCACGGCCGATGACTTCTGCCTGGAGAACCAGCACCTGCAGGCCTGCTTCTCGGGACGCTCAGGCCTGCTGCAGGTGAGTGCAGGGCTCTGACGGGTGGCGTGGGGGTGAAGGAGGGGAGGGGGGCACAGCGCTGCCTCGTGCAAGGCGTGCTCACCGCTGTGCTGGCCTGCGCCCCGCAGAGCATCCGCCGAGCTGGGGAGGAGCGGGAGCAGAGGGTGAGCAGTGAGTTCCTCATCTACGGCACCAGGACCTCCAAGGACAAAAGCGGAGCCTATCTCTTTCTGCCTGATGGCGAGGCCAAGGTACGGGGACTGCCTCTGAGAGCCAGCTGGCAGCCGTGCCCGTGGCCACGTGGCAGTCCAGCTCAGCGCAGCCCTCCTTCCCCCACAGCCCTATGCCCCCAAGGACCCCCCAGTAGTGCGGGTGACGGAGGGACCCCTCTTCTCAGAGGTCGCCAGCTACTACCAGCATGTCCAGACCGTGGTGCGGCTTTACAACGTGCCAGGTGAGACAGCGTGAGGCTGTGCTAGGGAGGTCGCTGGCCCGGGGGCGCTGGGCGATGCTGCCCATGGGGCCCAGCCCCTCACTGCCTGCCCACAGGGGTGGAGGGCCTGTCCCTGGATGTGTCTTGCCTGGTGGACATCCGTGACCATGTCAACAAGGAGCTGGCCCTGCGCTTCAGCACTGACATTGAGAGCGACGACACCTTCTTCACTGACCTCAATGGTTTCCAGGTATCCGGCAGCCTGGGGAGGGACAGCAGCTGCCCACGGGGGGACAGTGCCCTGCCACCCGGCACTGGGCACTGCGGGAGCCGCCTCCAGCCGCTGACCTCTGTCCCTCGGCAGATCCAGCCCCGCAGGTACCAGCGGAAGCTGCCACTGCAGGCCAACTTCTACCCCATGCCTGCCATGGCCTACATCCAGGACACGCAGAGCCGCCTGACGCTGCACACAGCCCAGGCCCTGGGGGTCTCCAGCCTCGGCAGCGGTGAGCCGGCCCCGCCGGGGCCGTGGGGCTGTGCCTCGGGGGGCCTGCCGCAGCGCCCGGGCTGCCCTCTGCGGTGGTGCTGGGGAGGAGGGTGCTGCAGGGTGGCACAGGGGGATGCTGGGGAGGAGGGTGCTGCGGGCTGGTGCAGGGTGCCCTGGTCCTGCTGCCTCGGGGGGCTCCCCGGCGCCCCCAGCCCTGTGGGAGCGTTTCCACGCGTGGTGGTCGAGGGGCCGTGTGGGGCGGCTGGCTCGCGTTAAAGCCCGGGGTGCTGGGACCCGCTCTCTGCAGGCCAGCTGGAGGTGATCCTGGACCGGCGCCTCATGCAGGATGACAACCGGGGCCTGGGCCAAGGGCTGAAGGACAACAAGCGGACCTGCAACCGGTTCCGCCTCCTCCTGGAGCGCCGTGCCACTGCCAACAAGGTGCGTGGGCTGCGAGGCCACGGGACTGGGGTTGGGCACGGTGCCGCTCGCCCAGAGAGCCCAGCCCTGCCTTGGGACAGAGGCGTCTGCAGAAAGCCACGTGTGCGACTGGGCGCAGGGTCTCCTCCCCTGCTGTCCCGTGACCCCCCCAACCATCGCGCTGGCACTGCAGAGGGCCGGGCCGGGCCTGGAGCAGGGGGGTGTGGGGAGACTGGGACCATGGACCAGGGTCTGTCCCACAGATGGGGTGCAGAGCCACGCTGCCCTTGTAATCACAGTGTTTTTGTCCCATCCCCTCGCTGCTCTCTATGCGTGCGCCATGTCACCCATTCAGAGCTCCAGCTTCTTTTCCAAACTGGCCTCCATGTTTAAAGCCTTGGGCTTCCCCGGCGCCAGGACTGGCAGCCCAGAGGTAACGGCCGGCCTGGCCCCACTGTCTCTCCCTGTCTCGTGGACTAGCTGCTAGCAACTAGCCTAGCCAGGCCCCGTAGCAAGCCCGTAGTCTGACCGTCGGCTAGCCGGGGTCCATGCAGGCTGCCTGGCTGGCAGCCGCCCTCCCTGTTTGGGCGCTGGGGGGGGTCGTGCCTGGGTGGGCGCAGCTCTGGGTGCCCTGTGCTGGCAGGTGCCTGTTCTCCGAGCGCTGCTGGAGAGGCGGCAAGGGGCGGGAGGCCCCACGGGCCCTGTCCAGGCTCTGCCTGGCCCTGCCGCTGCCCTGGCCTGCGCTGACCCGTGTGCTCTTTGGCCCGTGCAGGACGGCCGCCCGATCAGCTTCCCCTCCCTGCTGAGCCACATCACCTCCATGCACCTGAACGCCGAGGCCCTGGTCATGCCCATGGCCCAGGAGAAGCCGACCCCACCAGCCCTGCGCTCCTTCGTGCCCCTTTCCACCACCCTCCCCTGCGACTTTCACATCCTTAACCTGCGGATGCTGCAGGCAGAGGTGAGCTGCGCCCCGTGAGCGGGCCGGGCATGGCCTGGGGGCAGCAGGACTCTGGGGGGGTCCTGCACCCGCTGTCCCCAGCATCGCACCTCACACCCCGGCTTCCCGGCAGGATGACTCGCTACCCTCGGCCGAGGCAGCCCTGATCCTGCACCGCAAAGGCTTTGACTGCAGCCTGGAGGCCAAGAACCTGGGATTTAACTGCACCACCAGCCAGGGCAAGGTAAGAGCGGGCTGCCGCCCCCACGCACCGCTGGGTCAGAGCCAGGCTGGGGCCCCCGGCATGTCTGGCTCCACGCCTGATTCCTGTGCTCGTGCCAAGCCAGGATGGAGGCTGGAGGGGGCCCCCAGGTCCCAGAATCGGTGGCTGGTCAAGAGTCCCATGGTGCAGCACGCAGCCCTGCTCTGCCCTCACCCAGGCAAAGCTGGAGGATGTTGGTTTCTCACAAAGCGGGTCTGGAGCCTTCCATGAGCCCTGCAGCCCCCAGCGAGGAAGGGCAGAGCCTGGGCTAGGCTGGGTCAGCGTGGTGCCGTGGGGGGCCTGCGAACCGGCTGCTGGCACAGCGTGTGTGGGGCTGCCCCGTGCATGGTGCTGCGCTGCCAGGCACCGCGTCCCACTCACCTGGGCCACCCGCCCTTCTCCCTCCTCTCTCCCTAGCTGGCCCTGGGTGGCTTGTTCCAGGGGCTGGAGCTGGGCTCCCTGCAGCCCACCTCCCTGACCTTGATGTACCCGCTGGGCATGGCTTCCAACAGCACCAACATCCACCTGGACCCCATGGAAATTGCCACCTTCCGCATCCGCCTGGGGTAGTGTCTCCCGGAGCGGGAGAGGAGCAGACTGGCTGGGCAGCGTGGGAGCAGCCGCTGAGCCCAGCAGCACCAGCACGGCCTGGGAGAGGCTGGGCCAGCAAGCCTGTGGCAGGCAGGCGGGCGCTGGGCAGGAGGTGCCGGACTTGCAAAGGCTGCTGCCTTCTAATTTATTAGTTCTCTGTTCTCAGATAGATTTCAGAAGCGAACTGCTGTGGCAGGGCTGTGCAGAGGCTGCCGGATTCTGCCAGGCCATCGAGGCCACGGGCCGGACACTGCTCTGAGCAGAGCACGGCTGGCAGGGGCAGCGGGCCGGGCTCTGTCGCTGCTGGCAGGGTGGGCACAGCTGCCCTGCTGCGTTTGCACGGCTTCCCGGGAGGGTGCCCACCCCGGTGTCTTGGGGCAGGGGCCCGTGCTGGGCTCCCCTGGACCCGTGGGGCAGCACGGGGGCTGCCAGGAGCCTGGCAGGGTTGGGGCAGCTGGCTGGGGAGGTGCTGTGGACTGGAGACTGAGCTCGCCTGGAGCTTGTAGGAAACACGAGGCTGTTTCAAAGGGCCTCAGTCTGTGTCTGGTTTGTCATTCTTGCACTGGTGGCGCGGGGGAGTGGAACGGTGCTCCGTGGGGAGACGGGGCAGCACCCCATGGCAGCAGGGAGGTGGACTCGGAGCTGTGGCCAGGGCCTGTCTGGGTGTGCTGGGTGGGCTGCAGGGGCTGTGCTGCGTGCTGCTCTGTGGGGTCACTGCCCTGCCGCTGCTCCCGGGGCTGAGCCAGGCGTGGGGCCGCGGGCACGTGTGAGAGGCCGGTGGCACGGCCAGGCCCAGCCACGTTTGGGAACAGGCAGCGTGGGGTGCTGGCGGGAGCAAGGGGGATGGGGTGCAGACCAAAGTTAGGCAGCTCCCTGTGCAGGCAGCAATGCGTGGGTTAAGCGTGGGAATGGCCTTTCCCAAATTCAGCGCCTTTAGTCCCCTTTTGGTGAGAGCACAGCAGCCTGGTCTGCAGTGCCCCAGGGGTTGCGGGAAGCCACATCCCCAGAAGCATCCTCCCGGTTGCTGTGGGGACCGCAGGGGGTGCCGCGCTCCCCTGGCCCCCCGGGGCTAATTACTGCGAAGGGGTGCCAGCAGAGAGGGCCGGGCGAGGAGGTGGTGCTGGCTGAGCTTTGCCTCGGTTTCCCGCACAGCCTCCGGCACAGCCTGCATCCCACGGGCTCGGCCACGGCCCCGCATGCCCACAGCCCCGAGAACAGGCAGAGTGCATGGAGCCAGCATGGATCGGCCCCGCAGCTCGGCCCCTCACGCTGCCCCAGGGACGGCCCGGCACAGGGCAGCGCAGCGGGGCAGCGCCCCAGGCCTGCTGCACGGCTGGGGGTGCGAGCGCGCTGCGGGGCTGTGCCGGGGAGCAGGGGACCACAGCTCTGCGCTGGCACAGCTTGCCACCGGCAGCTCTGCCGGAGCCTGGCTAATGGCATAGCTGGCGGGGAGCCAGGCTGCTGGCACAGGGCCCGCTGCCCGCCAGGGCTGGGCTGCCGAGGGGCTGCGGCACAGCCCGCCCACCCACAGCCCCAGGGCAAGGCGCTCGCCCCGCGCCCCAGCCTGGCCCGTGGTCCTCGCCCGCCATGCCGGGATCCCCAGAAGGGCTGAGATGTGGCCGGTGCCCCACTGTGGGGTTGGGGAAGGTGCCTCCCGTCCCACGCCTGGCCCCCGAGAAGCTCATTAGCAATGCTTCCGCCTCCCGCCCCGGTCCCTGCGGAGCGGGCAGCGAGTGCAGGAGGCTCTAATGGCTCCAAGCAGCTCTTGATGGGCCGTGATGCAGGCGGGAGCAGGAGGGGCTGTGGTTTCTGCCTCCGCCGGAGCCAGAGCTGCCTCTGCCCAGGGTCGGCGGGGAAGATGCTGGGTGGGCTCCTGCTCCGGCTGCTCCTTGCCACGGCTCTGTGCCCCGGCCTCCTTGGGACAGGTACAGCCCCGCTCCCGCTCCTCCTGCTCCCTGAACCCATCCTCCCTGTCCCTGCTGGGGCCTCGTCCCTTGGGGGCTGCTCCCCAGTGGCCCCCGATGGAAGGTGGGGGCTCTGTGCCGGGAGGCGGTGGTCCGCGCTGGGGATGGTGGCCCAGGCGTGGTGGTGCCGGGGCCGGTCCCGCTGCAGCACGTCTGTGAGGTGAGAAACGCTGTCCCTGTGAGGTGGTGGCAAACAGGGAGGGGGTTCAGCACGGGGAGATCGGGGCTGGCCCGGGGGCTTTCCCCTCCCCTCTGCCGCCATCACGCTCCTTGCCCGTGCTTGCCCTCGCCAGGGCGATGGCGAGCGCTGGAGGCCACGGCACACATGGGGCCAGGGCCGCCAGCAGGCAGTGCCGGGCGGGGCTGCGTGCAGCCGGCGCTGCCCGGGCCCGCCAGCAGGCAGTGCCGGGCGGGGCTGTGTGCAGCCGGCGCTGCCCGTGGGGCTGGAGCCCAGCCGCCACCTGAGCCCAGCCCGAGGGCTGAGCCGGGGGCTCCCGTGCCGGGCAGTGAGGCCCCGCGGCGCTGGCGCACTCCCAGCCCAGCCTGGCCCAGCCCTGCCGGGGCTGAGGAAGGCTCCGCTCCACGGTGTCCCTGCGAGGGCTGCCTCGCTGGAGCTGGCAGCCTGTCCCACCGGCACTGCGCCGGCTGCCGGCACGCCGACTCGCCTCGATGCGGGGCGAAGCCCAGCGCGTGCCCCGTTCACGGGCTCTGCAGCACCCTGCGGCAGGGGCTGAGCCCCGGTGCTCACCAAGCGCCTGCTCCTCGCCGCAGTCTCGGTGCAGAACCTGCACCTCTGCGAGGGCTACGCGGGCCCGGACGGCCGCTACCACCCCGGCTTCTACTGCCCGCGGCTGACCGACCCGGCTGGCCACCGCTACTGCTGCCGCCCCCGCCCGCGCGCCTTCCAGGCCCGCTGCCCCCAGCCCG